CAAAAGTTTGTAAGTCTGTAACTATCTCACGTGGTAAAGGTAAAAGGTAAAGGCCCTCCCGTTGATCATCGATTTGCTCGAGCGGGCCCAGTAACGTCTCCATCGTGAGACATTGTTGCTACTGTGTTTGGCATATCGAATACGTCACGGGGAGCATGCCAGGCCAGAGCAACCAGGCTACCGTGCCAGGCTACCGTGCGGGCAAGATACTCTTGGTAGCTTGCCGGGCTCTCCGAGAGGGGCGCAGGAATCGAATTCGGGTCGGCCATGTTGGCTGCGTGCAAGGCAAACGCCCTACCGCTGTGCTATCGCCACGTGATTCATTAAAAAAAGTATCACTGTCACTGTCCTCCTGTTGTTCATCGATTTGCTCGAGCGGGCCCAGTAACGTCTCCATTGTGACACTTGTTACTGTGTTTGGTATATAGAATATGTCATGGGTAGTTTGTCAGGCTTTGCCATGCAAGTGAGATACTCTTGGTAGCTTGCCGGACTCTCCGAGGGGGGGCCGGGGGGGGGGGCGGAAGAATCGAACCAGGTTGGTCGGGTCGACCAAGTGCAAGACAAATGCCCTACCCACTGGGCTATTGCTCCACCCCATGAAAAAGTATTAAAAAAATGTTTTTAAGACTTCCCTTCATTCTTATGGGGCATTTTGGGTGGAAAGCAGGCAGTGTGTAGGGGGGGAGGGGGGAGGGCTCAACTTCTCCTTTTTCTGGTTCAGTCTTCCTGACCCTTCTCATCCATAAACTGCCATTATTCTTTGGGCCATTTCCCAGGGAAGAGGATAGCCCTGCTTAGCCACCTTAAGCCTTGGGCACCCTGTCACTGGACCTTCCGGAAGGGCAAGAACCACAGAGCCCGCGCACTCCAGAGACAGCCCGGAGAGATCCGGGTCCTAGATGCCCCTGGGACTGCCTCCCCAGGCTGCCCAGGTGAGGAATCAGGTGGTCAAGGAGGACAAAGCCTTGTCCATTTCCTCTGCCCTTGAACCTGGGGCACAGCCACAGAGATGCTGAAGGTCAGTCTTCGGAGAATCTGAGCTCCACCTGCGACTTCAAGCGAGACTGGGGGAAAGCCAGCACCTCAGGTCACTCTCTGAGTCAGACATTCTGAGCAATAGTGGACACTCTTGCTAGTCCAGGCCAGCACTGCCCAGCACAGCCCCTGGCACCATCTGCGTGTGCCTTAGAGATGTTTCTGGGTCCCTCCACACCCCCAGGGCCCCATGGCATCAGAATTAACATTTCATCAGACTTTCAGAAAAACTCTTAGCTTCTTAGCACATTAGTTTTGAGAAACTGACGGGGGAGAACGTCCAACGATTCATAAAGAAGTACTTTTCTATAGTGGAGACAAAGGGAAAAGAGCACCATTTTGATTCACAGGGATCTGAAAGCCTCATTCAAGAGAGGCCTGCGTTAGGGAAGACAGCGAGAGTAACCTTCCCGAAACCCACTCCCTCAGGGAAATGGCAAGCGCTTCTGTTCTCTAGATGCTTGGGTCCCCGGCAAAGTGCACCGCAGCTTCAAACTCGGTGAACGGATGTCACAGATTTCCATTTTGAGATTTAAAGCAGGAACTTGCTGACAAGTCAAGGCTCAGGGAAGACAGGCAGCTATGCACGTTGCCAGGAACCAAAGAAGAAAGGATGAAAGAGCCTTAAACGAACAACCAAAATGGAAAGCAAAAACAAAACAAGACAAAAAAAAAAAAAAAAGAATTAGATCATCCGAGTCCAGCAGATTCTAGGATCACTCGGGAGCCACGAGAGACTGTGTGCGGGTTTCCCTCCATCAGTCGGGGTTTCCCCTGTGGGTATTTGTTGGTCAGTAGATCGAGGCGCTGACTGGGAGGAGGGGAGGCCCCAATGTTGATAAATGCAGACAGAGCCGATGCAGACGCCTGTGTTCAATTAGCATTTCTGTGGACCGAGCGATTTCTGGAACTATTTTTAAGTCATTGACGATGCCGGCAGCATCTGGCTCTGTGTCTGAAAGTACTCCCCGTCTGCTCACACGCCTGTGCTCTTGGACCTGTCCCCTCTGGACTCGCACGGGCCCTCCTGGCATCCATCCCCATCATCTCTTCCTCCTGCTGGCATCTTCGCCTGGTTCAGGGCTTGGGGCCTTTGGCCCTTCCTCGGCGTCCGTGTGGCACGGTTTATCTGTGCATCCCTGATCCACCAGTGAAACAAGCTTCCGAGGTGGGAAATGTGCCCAAGGTCTCAGAGTGGGTAGGTAAAGGCCATAGGCAGGGCCAGAGCCATAGGACAAGGGGGAAGGTGGCTAACAGGGCTGGATCTCTGGTTTCGCCCCCCCCCCCAAAAGCCCCTGAGCACCACCAGGAGTAAGCCCTGAGCACTGCTGGGTAGGCCCCAAAAATACTAAATCAATTATTGGAGATTCCCATCCCCCTTCCGTCCAAATCTGTGCGCCTCTGCTCAATCCTTCTGGTAGCTTCTGCAGGTTCACTGCCGTCTTGCTGCTCGGTCACAGGGAGCTCACACTTCCTGAAGAAGGACCTCCATGTGGAAGGAATCCCCAGGACACGCTTATTCCTTTCTCACAAGTGGGGCTCCTGGCTGCAGCTCGGCCCGGGGGCTGGTCCCAGCACAGCGTGGATTCTTGAGCGCGCTCTCCCTGTAGATTTGTTGTGCAAGTGCTTTTTCCCCTGTAAGGCTTTCTCGTCAACGTTTTGAATAGATCCTAGATTCTGTATACACACACTGGGATGTAGGAATCAAAGTGAAACCCTTGACTAATGCTGCTTCATGTTCAGAGAGATTTAAAAAAACATTTTTTAAAGAGCTCACACACACACACACACACACACACACACACACAGTGGTCACAAGGCATTCTGCCTTGGCCTGCTTTGTTGAGTATCGACCTTTCTCTGTCCCATTTTAAGGGATTAGGTCACTGCGACTGTGTCTTCTGCCACTTTGCCAACACAATGACGAACAGTGGGTTTATTCCAGAATGATTCACTGTTGCGGGGCCCAGACAAAAAGCCTGACTCCAGAGAACTCCAGCGGAGTGAGGTGAGTGCAGATCCACTGGCAGAAGGCAGGAGAGCTTCCGGTGCATGATTGGTTTTGCAGATTACACACTCACAGAGAGGGATTTGACTGAAAGCCAGAGGAGGGGGCAGCTTGCCAAGCAAAACACAGAACGCCTCGCCAACTTCGCCAGATAATTCTTCTTGGGGAAGGAGGAGTCTTCCCGCGATGAATGAATGTTTTGATGTGGTGATTAATCACAATTATACAGGAAGACCAGCTTGCATGTTCCTCCCACAGGCCCTGTAACTCCTTCCTCTCGATCACTAGCTACCAAAAATGGGGGCTCCCCCAAATTGCATTCCTTGACTCCAGACCAGGAAATGGTGCCAGATCTCTGGGCGAGACATCTGTACGAACAAATTCTCTTGAAATGAAGGCCGCAATCTCCTGTGCGTTGTTTTAGCATTGAGAAAAGGGTGGGACTTTCTTCCAAGTTTTCAGTTTGAAAATATGGTCTTTATATCCAGCACTACTGATTCATTCACCAATTCATTCACTCAGGATATTCTGGGGGTCTTTCTATAAGTCCTTCTGAAGGAAGAATCTACTACCTGCGTTGAGTCTCTTTTGGAAAGCTTGCAACTCCTGGATTTGAACAGATTAAACATAGAAAAGGTTTCCTATACCAATTCAAAAGACATTGAAAATTTAGGGCTTTTTTAAGTTCAAGGGAAGAAAGGAAGGAAAGGAAGGAATGAAGGGAGGGAGGAAGGGAGGGAGGGAAGAATTTAGTGAGAGAGGAAATAAATCATAATAGATTATTTCTAAAACTAAAGGACAAAACAATTCAGCTAACATATATGAACCTTTATTCTATAACAGACATAAATAACTTTGTGAATTCATATGACCTGTACAAAAGATAAAATAAGATATTGCACTAAGTTTAGATATGGGATATTTGGATTTAATATTAGCTAAACAGATAAATATATACAATTCAAGGAGTTAAGGCAAAACCAGATGATACTTGGAAATAATAGAAGGTTTGAAAAATAGGTATAATTAAAAACAAGGGTATCCCATCTCCAGTTAATAAAGTGATCATGTCTGGGGGGGGGAAAATCCCTTCGGTTTTTAATAAAGTGGTTATTATCAATCACATTAATTAAACTTGGGTGATAAAGTACAAGATTTCCCACGCAAGAGAACCATTTTGTGGAGGTTTGGGGTTCAAGCACTTAAAATTCGAGTAAGCAACATTTCCCTCGTCAGATTTAAGATCTATTCTTCCATTTAGAAAATATAATTTGGAAAATATGACTCTTTCACATATATAATTAAAATACAACTAGGAAGCATTCTTTCTTTTTATTATTTTTTTATGGGAAGTCAAGTGGGTGATCCGACAGGGTCAGTGTGTGGGGGACCCACCCAAGGCCCTACTTGTAAGAAGACACAAAGCCAATCACTGAAAATGAAAAAAAGGAAAAACAATTCCCAGCTACCATAAGAGAACAAAACCAATGAACTCCGAAAGGAGCAAAAACAAGTGGAATCAATAGATCAACACAGTACACAGTTCTTTGGCAGTAACACGCTAACTGTTGCTTGAAGACAGAACTTGAGTTTTCTCATTCTTAGACCCGGTTGCCAGTCTTTGCAAAAAAGAAAAGAAAGAAAATGCCACCTTTGCAAGGAACTCGGCCACTCCAGGAAACTAAAGGGAGAACACACCTGGCAGACAGCTTTTAAGTGTTACACTGAAGTGTGAGGAGGGATTTGCCACCATGAGTCCCCCATCCAAAGACAGCGGAACGGACACACACCAAAACTGTCTGTGGAACTCTGACCTGGTGCCACAGGCCTAGAATCCTTCAAGAGAATCCATGTGCACCCACGAGAAATCAATAAAAGACATCGATCGGAGGATGAGAACGTGATCTCCAACAGCGCTGGGCTGCCTGTCCCCTGGAGGACCGTGGAGGGGACCCTATAAGGGAAACACCAGGAAGCCGGAGAAGGTCGAATACTGCCAGCCTCCAACCAGATTACCTTTCTCCAGTTTCAGGTAAACCTTATCCTCTTTATCCAGGTAGAGTAAGACTCCGTTGGTGGCAGCTTCACGAGTCACATCTTTGTCCCCAGCGAAAGCAGATATGACCGGTTTCCCATTCAACATCAGGTTAACCTACAAGAAAACAAAACCCACTGAAAACCCCTCCACACGGGCTAAGAGACAGGCTAAGAGATCTAGGAGACGCTAAATAAACATCGAAGATGGGACTGGCTTGGTCAAACAAGGGATTTGTGTGTGCTGTAAGCGTATCCCTCTCTTTCAGATTAGGCTGGTGCAGTAGCTAGATTGCTTACTTATGATGGACTGATTTCTTTGTAATTGAAAAAAAAAGTTTTGGAATCTCTCCCATAGACAGTTCCTTAAATGCCTGTAAGTCACAGTAAGATGTGGCTCCCTTCAACACATTAATTGAGTTTATGACTTTATTTCTCACAGTCAACACAACCTTTAAGAAGGAAGCCAAAGGCTGTGACTTCTATGTGAATAAAAGAGACCCAAGGCCCAAAGCCCCAGAAAGCCCAAATGCAGTAAGATTCAACTACCCTCCTTGGGGGTCCTGGGTACCTGAAGCACAGAGAGTGTTATACAAATCACAGAGAATTCTGAACTGTGTCTGCTGACTTGTTCAGTTACCCTGATAAAGATGAGTATTAAGGGGATCCATCAGCACAACCGCTAAAGACTTTAACGGTGGATAGTTAGCAGAGAATCAACTCAAAATGCATTCACTTTTCTCTTGAATGTACCATCTCCAATATTACATGTTTCTAGACATGGGGGTCTGGGAAAGGCTTTCCCTGGAAGTTAATTTAGGTATAGGATTCTATAGCACTGTAGCACTGTCCTCCCGTTGTTCATCGATTTGCTCGAGCGGGCCCAGTAACGTCTCCATTGTGAGACTTGTTGTTACTGTGTTTGGCATATTGAATACGTCAGGGGTTACTTGCCAGGCTTTGCCGTGTGGGCAAGATACTCTCAGTATAAGATATTCATTCTTTTTATGTTAAGAACATTGAACAAATAAAATCTGAAGTGACTCGATTTGCCCATTCTTTTTTGAGTATGTGAGTGTGTCATTGGTCATAGCCATGGAGACTGGGTGAAATGTACACATAGGGCGTCTAATAAGAGGCTCTTGTAGGGCCAGAGATAATACAGGAAATAAGACACTTGCCTTGTATGTGGATGATTTGATTTGATCCCCAGCATTGAAGAAGGTCTCCTGTGTAACACCAGCAGTGATCCCTGAGTACTGAGCCAGGAATAAACCCTGAGCTGAGCCAGGTATGGCTCCCCCCCCCCGCCCAACAAACAAGCAAAAAGAAAAAGGGATCCTGGAATTCCACAGACATGTGTTGAAGCCACTGAGTTTAACATATCTGATTATGATAGGAACTAATTACATTGTTGCCCTTGAGTCCAAGGTCAAGTTCATTCCCTTTGAAAGCACAGTTCAAAGGAGACTGTTAGCAATAGAACAGCAATGGGTAAGGCTTCACTAGCATCAGAGCAATTAAGGAGAAACTGTTTACCATTTAAGCAGGCCTGCACCATTTTTTTAAGTATATTGATTATTCCTTCACAGATTTGTTTTTAATTGTCAACAGTATCCCATAATTTTTAACAACAGCAAATGTGTTTTATTTACTATGCACTTACAAAGTTCTTCAAGTCTTTTAAGTTTTTCATTTGGTGTTCAAAGAATTTTTACACATGTAGTAAAAGAAACCAAGATCTTACAAAGACAGTTGTGCCAGGGGGCAAAAAAAGACAAGAAAAAGAGATCTATGTCACTATACTAAGCCATGATTTTTCAAAGAATTGGTTGTTATTAAGGGAATAAGTTCAATTTTGCTTTTCTAAATGCTTCTGGTCATGTGCCTTATGAATATTATAATGGGGAGAAAAGGACAGGAACTGCTTTTTAAATAAACTAAACAAAGAGGAGGTTTCTCTACATATTTAGATAAATGCTTAGATTCATAACCTATTACCAATAAATATTGTTGTTTGGTAGGGAGAACCAAGAGGTCAAAAAACATACCTGGATTGTCTGGCTCTGGTAGACTTTAATTACGTGAAAACTGAAACTGTAAATTCCTTTTCTCGGGGCTACAAAGACAGACTCCAGCGTGAAAAAATTACCCACGTTTACTAGGATCTATAAATAAAAATGATAAATAACAGAGAATTATTATAATACTCTCTTCGGCAAGTAAAATCCGTTTCCACCCTGCCATCTTCCTCTTCCTTCTCTCCTTTCTGTGTTTTTGTCATAATTGACGACTAACTTGAAGAAACCAAGAGAATAAAACATTGAATTCTTCTATCCCTTTCCTCTTTAGTGACTTGCAAACTGGATTTGTCAGGAAATGGGAAGAAATGAAGCAACTGCTTTGCTTTCACTCCTCCTTTTTCCAGCAGGGGCTGCTGACTCGAGAAACATCCAGATAACAAGTGAAGGATTAGAAATATCAACTCTACCTGGAGAGTGGGTTAAAAGGCGCCCACTCTGTATTTGCAATCCTCCCACACACACACCCCTCCAAGCCTTCCCAGAGTCCAGGGGTGACGCATCCATGGACACCAGCCAATCAGCAGCCATGAGCTCTCTGCAGTCCTTCCTGGACCCAGTACACAGCCTGGGCATTCACTCCCACAGGTGAGACAGTTGATCCCACCTCACGGTGGATGCAGGAGAGGCCTGGCCCCCATCCCAGCCTCTGGCCGGCCTCCCTCTCTCCTAGGGTCCAGGGCCTGGTTCCCCATCCTGTCCTGTCTCGGCCTCCATTAGACTATTTGGCAATGACTCAGCCTTAAAAGGCTGCCAAACGGTAGAGCTTGAAAAAAAAATAAAATAAAAGGGGGGAAGGAAGCATCTCTCTTGGTCCTCCCAGCAGGAGCCGTTTGACAGCAGGGAGCACCATGGAAATTAAGTGAAATGAGGCACTGGTTCCCACACAAGCAAGGGTGCAAGGGTCCAGGCGCTTGGCTCTGGTTAGAATGAACTCTGAATTCCATGCAGTCTCCTAAAACTTCCCCTGTCCTCACACAGTGAGAATGTGTGTCCAGGCGTGTGGTGCTGGTGGTGGTGGTCAGGGGAAGGTTGTGAAACCAGTCATGAGGGCTTCTTCTCCTTCCCCGCTAAGAGATAAATCTAAGAATTGTCAACTATCAGATACTTCTGAAAAGGTATGCTCCCTCTCCATCAGTGTTTCTTTGAAACACCACCGTGTCAAGAGGGAAATATTTCAAGTCTTTCACTTCTAATTCCCCTGAAAACACAGGATTCCCTGGGAGCAGTGCGCACCAGAATATCCTAACAGCCGGGTAGAAGAAGCAGGCTGGAGGCACCAGTGCGGTTCTCCTGGTCTCAGATCTTACTTACCTGCTTCTAGGCAAGCCTCTGATACCTTTCCCTGACCTCCTGATGGACCAGCTCTGGGCTAAGCCACAATCCCCAAGGGGGATGTGGGAGGAGAGGGGGGAATCCACAAAGATTTTATTTTCCCCTGAAGCCTCTTTAAAATCCTTTGAAGCACTTAGAGGGGACTCCCAGCGTCGGCTACAAGCCGCATCATTCATTAGCAATGATGGAAACGGCCGATCAGTGTGGACTCCACGGAAGGCTGCCTTGCGGTGGCGGTACCGTCATTAGAGCGGGCAGGCACGGAGCATCCTTCCTAACCCTGTCTCCTTGGCCCTGGCCGTGCCTGGCTCCTGGACCGCGGGGGACACCCCCTTTCTCTTCCGTTTGGCCAGGGGAAGGGTCCCTGCAAAGCTACACTGGATAGAACAGGGCAAGGTCCACTGAGTGCCAGACTCGGGCTGGGCCCCCCACGGGGACTGTCTCTGATGTTGTTCCCTTCCAAGCTGGGCTTCCCACACCAAGATCGACAGGGCGCTTTCCAGAGCGCTGCTTCTCCACAGTAAGGAGGGCAGAGGCAGGCTCCGTCTCGGGCCAGCCCCAGCGACCGCGCGCGCGCGGATCTTGGGGATCATTAAGGAAGAAAGAGTCCCCGGCCCGGCTGGCTTAACCTGGGCATCCCACGTGTGGCTTGGCATGCAACTGTGAAATGCACGCTGGCATTCTGAAAGCCTCTTCGGGTTGAAAAGCAAACCCCCGGGGTCCCTTTTGCAATATTTGGACTGCTGGCCACGGCTAAGCTGCCCGCTCTGAGCTCCCAGTCTGCCAAAGGCCAGCGCCGCGGGTCCCTGGAAGCCAGAACTCTAAGCCAGGCTCCTCGCCCCGAGTTCCCTTCGCCTCCCGTCTAGCCTTTTCCCCCGGGCAACATGCGGGGAGGGGAACCCTCTCCCCGGCGGCGGGCTCTCGGGAGCTCGGTGCGGCTCTCCTCGCCTCCGCCTCCTCGGCAACTTTCCTCCAACGACCCGAGGATTCGGCTCTGCGCTAAGCGGCGCCTGGCACCTCGCTGGGGTGGGCCCGAGAAAGAGGGGCGAGATCTGACCGTGGCCGGCGCCCCTTGACCCTCTCCTACCGCCTGCGCGGCGCCGGCAGAGGCTGCACCCCCCAGAACCCCACCTCCCGGGGTACTCTTTTGCGGAAAGCATCTCCACCCGAGAGATGCGAATCGCGAATGGTTCAGCCGCCGCGAGGGTACCGCGCGGAGAAGAAGCTCGGCGGGCGCCGCAGAGGAGCCGAGAACTCCAGGGAGGGGGGCAAGCGCGGGGGTCTACAGGATGCGCGGGGCCGGGCACCGGTTCCCGCCAGCGCCCATGAACCTGTTGCTGATCAACTTGTCCCGAGCTCCCAGCTCCCGGCGCCTCCCAGAATCGCCGAGCGAGGTCTGGAGGGAACCGGGCGCGGATGGGAAGGAGAGGGACCAGACAGCAGAAGTTTCCAAACCCGGGCGCATCTGGGGCTGGGGGAGGCGAGCATCCTCCGGGCTCTCACCGGCACCCGCGCTTCAAATCAACCGAGCAGACAGACAACCCCCCGGGGTTCTGGCCCTAGCAGCGACGCCCCCCACCCCCACCCCACGGTCCGGCCCCCGTTCCGTCCCCGCGGGTCCCCCGCGGGTCTGACCTGATCGAAGTAAATGATGCGCGTCTTGTTGCTCATCTCCGAGGGCTCGTGGTTGGTGCTGCGCACGGCCGAGAACGCCACCTTGGAGTTGGCCGCGCGCACCGAGATGCCCAGCGGGGACGACGAGGAGCCCTTGGCGTCCGTGGCCGGGTTCGAGTCGCACACCACCAGGCACTTGCCCTCCAGCACGATGGGCTCCGTGTCGTTCTGCGCGCGGACGGCCGGCGCGGGCAGGGCCAGGGCCAACAGCAGGGCCGGCAGCACGGACAGCGCCCGGCGGCGCGCGGCGCCCATGGCGAGGCGCGGGGGCAGCGGCGGCGGCGGGCGGCTGGCACGGCTGCTCGGCCGCGTGGCGGCGGCGCCCGGGACCCCGGAGCCCGCGGAGCTGCCGGCGGCTGAGCTGCACCGCGTTGCGGGCACGGCGGCGGCGGCGGCGGCGGCGGCGGCGCGCGCACTTCCACGGCGGCCGAGGCTGCGAATCCAAGTCGCGGCGAGCGCGCTCTCGCCGGCGCCGTTACCTTTGTCCTTTCAGGAGCTCATGCAGAACCCCCTACCCCACCCTCCTCTGCGCCAGATTCAGCCCTGCCGGGGGCCCCTGCACCCCTCCCGGTGCCCAGACATCTACAAAGTCCGTGCCCGGCTCCTCTCGCGCGCGCGCGCCTCAAAGGGGAGCGGCCGCCGACATGCCCACCGCAAGCAGAGCCCCGCACCCCCGGGCCGGCCCCGGCGCACCAGCCTCCGATGGGGGGCTCGCGGGGCAGCCCCGGGGCGCCGGCTGACCGGCGGCGGGCACGGAGCACGCCGGCGGGAGGCGTCTCTCTCCCGGCCCGAGCCGATCGCCGGCTTCCCGGCCCGGACCAGAGCGCCGGGCACCTGGTGGGCACGTTCCGCGATGCCCCCCGGAGCCCGGCGCGGGGCGCCCGTCGGCGGGGAGGCGGTGCGGGGCCGGGGCCGGGGCCAGGGCCGGTGTCCGAGGCTGGTGCGGGCGGCGGGGCCGGCGGGGACCGGCGGGGTCCGGGGCTGCCGCGGCTGCCGCTCGGCCGAGCCCGGTCCCCGGCGCGCAACTTTGTGCGTCCTGCGCCGCCGGGCGGGCGCGGGGCGGGCACCCGCGCGCTATTTATAGGCGCGACCGCCGGGGGGCGGCGGCCAGCTCAGCCCGCGGGCGCCGCGGGAGGGGGGGGAGGCCCCCCGGGAAAGCGTCGGGTGACCCCCCGCGAAACCGCTCCGGCTCGCCTCCGAACGCAGCCCGGAGAGGGGTGCCCGCGGTCCCGTGCTCACCCGGGCCGGGCGCGCCCAGGAGGGCTGCGGCTCCTCTCCCCGGTGCCCCCCACTCCCTCCCCAGAGCCCTCCGAGCCCGGGACGGGGTCCGCGGCGCGTTGCGGGCACCCGGGCACCGTGCGCTTCTCGCGCCCTTGCGGCCTGGCGAGCTCCAGGCTCCGGGCGAGTGGCCGGAGCCCACCAGGAGCGATGGGAGGGGTCTCGGGGTGGCGTGGGGGGTTGGGGGGGCGTTGCGGGATGCGCCCCGGACCCCGCGGGGCGCGCCTCCTCGCTCGCACCCGCAATCCGGCGCGGGCCAGCCCCGCCGAGAGTGGGAGAGGGAGTTGAGGCAGCCAGAAGTGGTCCCCAGAGCGCCCCTCCTTCCGGGGCACGTAGCACCTCAGTGCCCTGTGGGGGTGCCACTCCCCGCTCCGGACCCCCGTGCCCACCCGGCCACTGCCATCTTGGCGTCTGATTGGCACGGTTTCTCGCCCCGCAGCCCGGCGGGGAGGGGCGCGCCCGTCTCGGGAGCGGCGCGGCGCGAACTTGGCCGAGTCACTCTCCCTTTCCGGGAGGGGGCTCGGGCGACGCGAGGGTCCTCCTCCCCCCTTATCCCTTATCCCTCCTCCCCCGCAGGGGTGCTTTGGGTCCAGGCCGCTCCCATCCCGAAATTCCTCCCCGACTTCCAGCTGCGGGCGAGCAGGCACCGTATCTTTAATCAAAACCGTCTCCCCGGGAGCCCTGCGGAGCACCGGCCTCGGAACCGACTATTGTGGCCGGGCAGCGGGCTGAGTCATCGTCCCGGATGGGGGCGGCCCTCTTCCTGCCTGGACGGAGGACAGCCGCGTCCGCACGGATGGATGGATGGGGGGGGGGGGTTAGGGAGGGGCTCCCACACCCGCCAGAAACGCGTCTCCAGGCCCGGAGCGAGCGCTCAGCCCACGGAACCGCCGTGCTCCGCATGCGGGAGGCCGGTGCGGCTCTCGCGCTGCCAGAAGCGAACACAGAGCCTGGGGTCGCCCCGAGGGAGCACCCCCGCTTGTGGTCCCCACGTGAAAATAATACCAACGGGACCCCAGCCCTGGTCCCTCGGGAGGTCCTGGAGGAGGCGCACGCGTCGCCCCTCACTGCAAGGCTCTTGTTAACCATCAAACTCCTCCTGGCTGGCGCTTTGGGCGCCAAGTCCTTGTGATTCTGCGTCCAAAGATGCCAAAGATCCAAAGATGCATCTGCGGTGCCCATTCAAAGGCCCAGGGGCCTCCAGCTACAGCTGTTCCAGATTCTCACCCCATAGGCCCGCTGTGGTGCCTTTTAAGCACAGTGGTAAGGCGTTTGTCTTGGACGCAGCTGGCCCGGCAGAGCCGGGTTCGATTCCTCTGCCCCTCTCGGATAGCCCGGCAAGCTACCGGGAGTATCTTGCTCACATGACAAAGCCTGGCAAGCTACCTGTGATGTGTTCAATATGCCAAACACAGTAACAAGTCTCACGATGGAGACGTCACTGGACCCGCTTGAGGAAATCGACGAACAATGGGAAGACAATGACAGTGAATATATATACATATATAATTTTTTTTATATTTTAATGACTCACCGTGAGATACAGCTACAGACTAACAAACTTTCGTGATTACGTTTCAGTCATACAGTGATCGAGTACCCATCCCTCCACCAGTGCCCATTCTCCACCACTGATGTTCCTAGTATCCCTCCCGCCACCCCCACCCCTTCCCACCCCCTGCCTCTGTGACAGGCACCTTCCCTCTTCTCTCTCTCTCCTTTTGGGTGTTATGGTTTATCAAGCGGCCATCATGTTTGGTCCATAGTCTACTTTCAGCACGCATCTACTATCCAAGCGATCCCTCCAACCATCATCTACTTAGTGCTCCTTTCTCCAACCCAGCTACCTTTTCCCCCAGCGCATAAATTCAGCTTCCAAGTCGTGGGGCAGTCCTCCTGACCCTTATTTCAACTGCCCTTTTGGACAGTAATTGAATGTCCCTCACCAAGAAGCTGCAGCCTGAGAGGATGGACCAGCGCTTTCCCAAGATGTCCCTTCCTGCCCAGTCCTGAGCCCCTATCCACACCCCCACACCAGCAGAACTTTTCACCTGAATCCTGGTCGCACTGTGCTACTCATTTTGGACTGACCACTGTGTTCCGGAGAGTGGTAGTCAGTGCTCTGATTTCACTGGCCTTTGAGGGCTGTCTGATTTGGGGGTTTCCTTATGTCTTGTTAGGGGTGAGAGACATTCCTCCTTCTTTCTCCAGGATCACTGGGGAAGTAGCAAAGACCCCAGTTGCTTTATTTCTGACTGGAAGGTGTTTGAGATTTAAAATTTAAAAAAAAAAATTGAGGGTCGAAGAGATCGCAGAGCCTCTAGGGTGTTTGCCTTGCACGCAGGAGATCCAGGATCCATCCCTGGCAGCCCATATGGTCCCCAAAGACTGACCAGCAGTGATCTGGAGCACAGAGCTAGGAAGGAAGCCCTGAGCACCATGGGCTGTGGTCCAAAAACCAAAACAAATTTAGCTGCCTTGTTCTATAAGGCCACCAGCTCTTTTGTCCCATTGGCCCTATATTGTCCCTGCATCTCTGTCTCCCTGGAGCTACTTCCTGCCTCTCTGGACATTGCCCTCCTTACAAGGACTCCATGGAAAGAAGCAGTTTCAACCGACGGCTCAGTCCCTGATGGGGTGAAACTGATCACTCTTACTAGACAGTTACCATCATTCATTCACTTGATGGTATCACCCAGGTCGAGTGAACCTCCCAGGAAAATTCCAGTTCAAACCTGTTCAGTGAGCAAAGGAGAGTGGCAGTTCATTAGGAAAGTGCTCCCCCCTCTGGTGGTCTGCAAATGCCCTCCCCCCCACTTCCTGGCATCTGTGCTCCCGTTGGCTGCATCTCTCCTCCCTCTGGCTCTCTGGTGAGGGAAAGGGAGTGAGCTTCCTGGCCTCCAGAGGCTGCCAGATCTGGAGGTGCAGAGGACTGAAGCCCAGTCTCCGGAGGCAGCGAAACCCGGGCTGCAGGGCTCTCAGGGTGACGCCTCAGGGGTCTCCCAGTGGCCACAAGGGCCAGCAGAATGAGGGCTGCAGTCTCCTGGACAGGCCACAGGAGGGCCACGTGCCAGGTAAAACCTGCTCAAAGGAACAGAAGGCTAAACATGATGGCATGGCTGAGAGATGGAGGGAAGGAGAGGGGACAGGGCCAGAGACATGGACAAAGGGAGAGGGGACAGGGGCTGGAAGGTAGAGGGAAGGGGAGGGGACAGGGCCTGGGAGGTGAGGGAGGGGACAGGGACAGAGGGGGAAGAGGGTCCCATTCCCAAATCCCTACCCATAAGCCACACCTCAACAGTCACCTACTTCCCATGTCCTTGCACATGAGAAGGAGAAGAAGGAGAAAGAGAAGAAGGAGAAAGAGAAGAAGGAGAAGGAGAAGGAGAAGGAGAAGGAGAAGGAGAAGGAGGAGAAGGAAAAGGAGGGGAAGAGGAAGTGACCTGAAGTCCCATTGCAGACGTTGTTTCGGTCCCCTTCCCCCTACCCCAGCCCTTTCCAGGGCATCCGGAGCTCTCTTCTGTATGAAGAAGCTTTGCAATATCCCTCACTAAATTGCATCTTAACTGGATAAACCCTTGTGTTGAACATTCCACACCAACATTTTGCTGCTTCTGAGAAGCTGTGTGAACCTGGGGCGTTTATCCTTCCCTCCAGGATGCTCTGACCTCGATGCGCAAACATGAAGCTGGGTTTTGGCCCCTCTTCTCCATCTTCTGTCAGTTTTGTTGCCGACCATACCGGAGGGCGGAGAGGGATGCTGGTCGCCTTCCTGCTGAACGCGGCTCTGCATCCAGCCAGAGGACGCCAGGCTGTGTCTGTACCGTCCCTCAGAGAAACCAAGTTCTCAGCAAGTCTGAGGCAAAGAGAATCCATGGGCAATTTTCTGTTTCTGAATAAAATGTCTCAAACCAGGCGAAGATGGACACACAGGCTCAAGGACTCTGGCTGGGCGGGAAAAAAAAACCCACAAAAATCTGTGGTTAAATGAAAAG